GAGACTGTGTTGGCAATGTACATTTTGTCAATAATTATTTATATTACTGTACTATTACATGTTAACCTCTTAAGCACGGCGGTCCCCCCATTGGACCCCTCCCACCTTTTTTTTTTTTCGAGATAATGTCTCAGGGCTTCTTAACATTTATGAAACTATTAATGTGTAGCACTAGATTAACAGGAAGAATCTCAGCTAACTGAAGATATGAACCATTTTTACCAAAACAAAACACAAGTCTCATAAGAAGCGTCTAAATGACCCCTGAGCGAAAAAGTTCTAACACACTGCGGCACACAATTCAAGATAAAAATACCCTTATTCCTTATCGTAGCTGCACATACAATATAGCCGATTAAAGCTGAGACTCCACTGATTATTTAGGTATAGTATCATCACTGAGCGATCCGAACTTGCGACAGGGGAAGCAAACACAGACATCACAACACGTACCTTTACGGAGCTTTTACGGCAGATCGTCTCACCGTAGCTGTCAATTAGGTCAAAAGACGTGTTCAATGGCATTAAAACGAAAATAAGGGAAGATATGGTCATTTGTTCTGGGAATGTCATTTTCGAGCCTGAGACCTGAAAAACAGGCTCAGGGCTTAAGAGGTTAATAAAATATAAAGTTAACTATCAAAGAAATCACATAAACTCAAGTATAAATAAGAGACCATGTTGTAAAAAAAACACTTAACAGATAAACTACAATTGTATTGATCATGAAAATAATAAACATAAATGACATTAACTGTGAGTCTGGTACTTCAGAATGATGAAGCTATGAGTGAGTCACAGAGAGTGACTACGCCCACTCAGAATCAACCTACCCTCCAAGCTCTTTTTGAGCACCATATTAAGTACCCAAAGGAGTCCAAAGATGCTACAAGGCTCAACAGGGCAGTGGCAGAGTTCATCTGTATAGACCAAATGCCAATATATTTAGTTGAAAAGGCTGGGTTCAGAAACCTTGTACAGCATCTGGACAAAAGGTATAACCTCCCCTCTAGGAATTTTTTTATGTATAATGAAATACCCAAGATCTATAATGAGACGAGGTCTATAATCAGTGCACAGCTGACACCAAAGCCATTCTTCTCCTGCACTACGGACCTCTGGACCAGCAGAACTGTAGACACATACATGGCTGTAACAGTCCAGTTCATAACAAAGTCCTGGGAAATGCAGTCCTGGTGCTTAGGATGCTCTGCATTGCACTCTGACCTCACAGCTGACACTCTGAAGGAAGCCCTGGAGGAAATTGTCACAGATTCCTGGGGGCTAGATATGGCCAAAATGTCTGGTATCACAACAGATAATGCTTCTAACAACCGCAAGGCTTTTGCTGACTACACCTGGATACCCTGTTTTGGTCACAACTTACATTTGTCAGTCAACAAAGCCATAGACATTGATCGTGTGGCAAGCTATCTGTCCCGACTCCGCAAGACTGTCTCTGGCTTCTCAAGATCTAATAAGATGTCAAGACTGCTGAAAGACAAACATAAATCTTTACAGCTGCCACCACACAAACTAATTCACGATGAGCCCACCCGATGGGGATCCACCTATGATATGGTGGAACGATTTTGTGAGCAGCAGCAAGCTGTCTCTGCTGTTCTGGCTGAGGACAGAAAGAAGTGTCACCTAATGCCCCGAGACACAGACATGACAACTTTGGAAATTGTGAGGGATGTCCTGGCTCCACTTAGTGATTTCACAGATGCCCTAAGTGGAGAGAAAGAAACAACAAGGTGACCGTCCACTGACGCTGGAAATGAAGCACAGAATCAGAGAAGACTTAGAAAAGAGATACAATGAGCACGATCTGAAGATGATGCTAAACATCTCCACTTTCCTAGATCCAAGATTTAAGAGTACTTTTGTTACTATGGAAGAGGAAGTCAAGAGGGAACTGCTCCTAAAAGCTGAGACCGTTATGCTTCCTATGGAGGAGCAACCAGAAGACTCAGAGGACAATAGAGGAGCAGCTGCTGCAGCTGCAGGGAAGAGAAAAAGAAGTGACCTAAAACATTTGCTCTGCAGTATCACCTCAGAAAAGAAGGGGGCAGATAATTCTGGAACAAGACAAGATTCTTCCACACCCACAATACCCACAGATAAACTAAATGGTGAGATCACTGACTACAAGCTATTAACATACATCAGCCCTGCAGAGGACCCTCTGACCTGGTGGAGTCAACATGAGGTACACCTGCCCATGCTGGCTCACTTTGCAAAACAGTATCTGTGCATTCCAGCATCCAGCTGTGCATCTGAACGTGTCTTCAGCACATCTGGAAACATCTGCAGTCCTAGGCGTTCTAGACTGACTGAGGAACACTTAGAAACCCTTGTTTTCTTGGCCAAAAATCTTAACAAGGCAAAGGAACTGAATAAAAAATGAAAACCAGCCTGCCACCCTAGGACTAAGGTTTAGTCTGAGTAGGGACATAATCAAGCCAGTTATGCTGCTAAACAGTAGGGCTATGTTCTATTTTTTGTCAGAGACCTCATTGTGTTGAATGTCATTTATGTTGTTTAATATACAAAATGTTCTATTTTGACAAAAAAGTTGTTTGAGATGATGCTTAATTTTATTTAATACGAATTCTTGTCATTTATTTTATTTATTGTTCTCATTGTTTAAAAGTTTGTGTTATGGTTATGGTTCTGGTGTGAAATAAAGCACAATAATTACATTTAAGACTGTTTCCCTTTTTTTAAGAAAAGTATCGAAAAAGAATCGGAATCGCAATTCTTGACTTGGTATCGGTATCGAAACCAAAATGTTGGTATCGTGACAACACTAGTACAGAGCTACACAGGTGGGGCATACAGGTATGCTGCAAAACGCCTAATGGTTCTTGTGGAGGAAGATTGAGGTTGTGGTGGAACATTACGGGACACAATGTGTTGTTTAGCCAAATTGCTCGTGTTACCGCCCTTACATGCTAAACTCTTATTGCACTTTTGGCAGCGAGCATTGTCCACATCGAGACGGGTAAAGTTTCACCACACCTTGGAGCGCTTAGTTCTCTCCGCCAACTCCGCCGTGTGTGTGTGTGTGATATGCAGCAGCCGCGTGTGTGTAAACTGCCCCGCCCCCTCACGCACAGACGGGGGAGAGAGATCTCTCGTCTGGATTGGAAAGATCGAAAATGCATCATAGATGCATTTTGTAGTCTTTTTGCATATTAGAAACGGATTTGGCGAAACTAAAACTGCAATATAATGTTCATGTAGCAATAATACATATGACATATGATATTTTAAATGTCTCCAGTACCGATAAAAAGACCGATAACGTCGGAGCTTAGCGGTACCACTGTCTTTAATAATTCTACCCCGGGGGCCCTTTAATACCGGGGCTCGGTACTCATCCCTAATCACACATGACAAAGATGGAAACGTAAAGCGGTCGCAAACAACAATGGCGGACACGGACAATTTGCGAATGAGTTCTGCCTTTTGTAAGCTGAATTTATCAATAATTTGTCAATAAATATGGGGGAAAACGTCACTTGTTCGTCGGACACATCAATGGAAATATGTACTTGTCCGATATTGTAAATAACACGTCCCAGACTATCGGACGTGTGCTTTTTCGCACACTGATATGGGTGTTGAGAGATGTATCGATAGATCTCTTAATTTTGCTCTCAAAGTGCACCAGATTGATGCTTTTAACTTCACTTCAATATAAAAAATAAAAATCTTCCCGGGGGAGCATGCCCCCGGACCCCCCTAGAGGATGATGGTCCACCCCCCACTTAAATCATGTTCATATGGATAGGATACTAAATACATTTGCACACATCTTGTGTACATATCTTTCTGTTTTGGTGGTCATGCCACAACCGTGCACGTGCATGCATGCGCAAGTAATAGTGTCTGCATTTTAGTCCTTACGCCTTAGACTCTCTCCAAAGCATAACATAAAAATATTGAAAATAAAACAGAAAGATATCTGGATTAAGAGGTTGCTTTTTCTTTGCACAGCAGGAAAGAAAGGCTAAATTAATGGGCTGTGATTTTTTTTTTTTTTTTGCAGAGGTTGGGTTCAATAACTTGTACAGCCCTCGGAGGATGAGAGGAAAAAGGTTCCCCACCCCTGCTCTAGACAAATGTTGTTCAACAGATACATGCATAATTGCTCTTGTAATGAATGAGAGTAATTAAATGCAGCAGAATAACTTTGCATGAGGCTGTTTCTGCACCTTGGATCAAGACTTTGCAAAGATGTAGTGTAAAGTTTGTAGAGAATGTGGGACTATTGGTGTCTGTAAAAAGTTTAACTGTATTGGAGAAATCACTGAAGATCCCATTGTATGTATAGTATGTTAATTTTGTGTGCAACATTTGTCTACTTAGAATTGGATGGATTAGGTACGTTTTAAAATGATAATGTTGTGAGTATATGGAAATGGGACCATGATTACAGCTGCAAAGGCATTTAAAGCTGTTGGGTAGACGTCTGGCCGTCCAATTGCTACACCCAGCACTTAATGATTTTTTAACCCACGTTTTGAAAACAGAACTGATGCCTGACAGCAGGATTATGTGATCAATCACTGGTGTTTCTTTGAGGAGTTTGCTTGTTCTGGGTTCACATTGGTTTCCTCACACCCTGAAGACACAATGAGTATAAGGATTATGTTCATGAGATTACAACATTGTTATTTATTTTTCTTTATTGGTCTGGTACCAGTAGTGAAGCAGTAAAATAATAAAGCAAATATAATGTGAGAAATATATATATATATATAGAATACATTTATATATGCATAAAATTTATGCAAAAACCTTGCATGCTTTCAGAAAAGTAGCTCTCAAAAGCAAACATAAATATGGTATTCACATTTACATGCAGAATTGAACCTCATTTGTATGTTTGTACACTTTTTGTAGCATTGACTCAGGTTTAACTGCTATCAACATCAAATAACTTTTATTAAATCGATGAGTTAACTCATGTAAGATCTTTATCTCCACAGATATCCAGGAGTTTTATGAAGTGACACTGCTAAACACACAGAAGAGCTGTGAGCAAAAGCTGGAAGAGGTCAACCACATGGCCGACAAGTGGGAGAGGAGTGTGTCAATACAGAACTCTGAGCCTGCACACTCTGTCTGTCCAGTGGAGGAGGTGAGTCTCTAACCCCTTTTCCACAAGGCTGGTTCTGAGCTGGTGCCCAATTGTGAACCACTTTTTTGTATATCTACTGCACTAGCGCCGACTCTTGGCCCCGAAAACTGTTTCCTATTTGAAACCAACAATTTGCTGGGCTGGGACCGAGAACCGCATACGTAAGGAGATTATGACGGAGTTCAGGGCGAGAGAGACAGAATCAGCAGTGTTGATATTGCATAGTGACTGTTGTTTTTATACTGGCTATCCGGAGTAATCAATGCAGAGGCTACAGTTGTTGTCATGTCAGAATATCACAAGTAAGATCATCATCAAAAATATGGCAGTAAAATATGCAGATAGTAAACAGCTTATGCCATAACGAAAGCAACAAATAAATACTCATTCAAAGCATTTATGTATATAATTAATATACCATACGTTGCCTATACCCTGTTAATGTTCTGCCACATGAAGTTATATATAAGGTGAAATGCGTTCCTATGAATAGTGAGACTGGCTTTGGTGACTATGCAAACATCATCTATGTAATACAATACAGAATACACGCCTCTGCGCCGAGAAGATGGCTGCATTGTCTTTGGCTCCTCTCCAACTTTGCCTTTCAGTGTTTGTTTACTTTTTGTCGTCCGCAACATGCGAGCCGACCTCACCAACTCTGCTATACAATATAGCAGAGAGGAACTTCTACAGATCAGAAACTTTGTGTACAACAGCCCACCGTCAGACAGTGGGGAATCGCCAAGGCTGTTGCTGTCCTACCTGTGAGACGCAGGAGGAAGACAAAGCGGGGGTCCCGTGCCGGGCTGCTAGTGAGACTGAGGAAACGTGAAAACTGACCCCTCTTCCGAGTATTCTTCTGGCTAATGTTCAATTAATTGAGAATAAACTAGATGAACTCAGAAGCAGGATTGCTTTTCAACGGGACATTAAGAACTGTAACGTGATAATTTTCACGGAGACTTGGCTCACCTCCGCTATCCCGGACTCCGCCATTGTTCCAGACGGATTCACTATATTTCGCCAGGATCGAACTGCTAATTCAGAGAGAAGCAAGGGAGGAGGTGTGTGCGTCATGATAATCTATAACTGGTGCACAGATGTGAGGATTATTGCTTCGGACTGTTCCGCTCATTTAGAGCACCTCATGATCAGATGCCGGGCTTTTCATCTGCCAAGAGAATTTACGTCGGTTGTGATTACAGCTGTGTACATTTCGCCACATGCTGACAACAACACAGCGCTGGGCGAGCTGTCTGGATTGATTGACAGGACAGAGACTTCACGGCCACGTCCTCCTGAGATGTTATCAACATATAAGCTGCCCGATGCGCAAAATACACTGGACCATGTTTATTCCCCTTTTCGACATGGATATAAAGCTCTCCCTCACCCTCCCTTCGGCAAATCAGACCACATCTCACTGCTGCTGCTGCCTGCTTACAAGCAGAAACTGAAACGGGTCAGACCGGACTATACAACGCTGGAGTGAGGAGTCAGACTCAGCTCTGCAGCACTGCTTCCAATCTACTGAGTGGAGTGTGTTTGAGGACGACAACATCAACACACGGACACGGTCATTTGCTACATTGGGAAATGCATCGATGACGTGGTACCGAAGGTTACTGTACGAACATTCCCGAATGTACAAGAGTACAAGAAATCTAGGTATGATCTCCGGAGAGCTATCAGCAGTGCAAAGAGACAATACCGAAACAAAGTGGAGTCTGACTTCAAAGGCTGTAACACCCGGAACATGTGGGCGGGACTAAGAACAATGACAGATTACAAAGGGGCAGCGGGGGGTGCTGCGGGACTGTCTGCATGCGCATCTCACCCAGATGAGCTGAACAGTTTTTTTGCACGATTCGAGAGCACCCAGGCTGTGGAGGCACAGAAGGATCAGGAGCCCTGCCCTTTTGTTTTAAACAGGGCAGATGTGGGCAAGTCCTTTAAAAGGGTTAACCCACACAAGGCTCCTGGACCTGATGGCATCCCTGGCCGTGTTCTCAGGGTGTGTGCAGTTCAGCTGGCAGAGGTGTTCACAGACATCTTCAACAGGTCCCTGCTGCAGTCTGTAGTCCCCACATGCTTCAAACACTCCACTATCGTTCCTGTCCCCAAAAAGTCAAAAATCGCCAGTCTCAACGACTACCTCCCAGTAGCACTCACCTCCATCATAATGAAGTGCTTTGAGCGGTTAGTCAAATCATTCATCACCTCCTTCCTCCCTGAATCTCTGGACCCCCTGCAGTTTGCCTACAGAGCAAACAGGTCCACAGACGACGCCATAGCCCACACCATCCACACTGCCCTCTCACACCTGGACCAGAGGAACACATATGTGAGAATGCTGTTCATTGATTACAGTTCAGCTTTCAACACCATTGTGCTCTCCAAGCTGATCGTAAAGCTCAGAGAGCTCGGGCTCAACAGCGCCCACTGTGATTGGATCCTGAACTTCCTGACGGGCAGACCCCAGGCAGTGCGGGAGAGGGACACGCCCGCATTGCCATCAATGGGACTACGGTGGAGAGAGTCAGCAGCTTCAGGTTCCTCGGTGTCCACATCCCTGAGGACCTGACATGGACTCATCACACAAACACCATCACCAAAACAGTTCGACAGCGGCTCTTCTTCCTCCGCAGGCTGAGGAGGTTCAACATGGACTCCAGGATACTCTGCAACTTCTACATGTGACCATAGAGAGTATCCTGACCTTCTACAGGTGCACTATAGACAGGTGTGCACATAACTTTTTGAGTGAGTTACTCAGATGAGTACCAGGAGACAGCGTTTGGTACTCACCCCACATGAAGCGTGGTGTTAATAAGTGCAGTCTTCCTCACTGTCCTCCTCAGTGTCTCCTTCACTGTCCTCTATTTACACTTCTTGCATGCTAGATGATGAAGATGATGAAGATGCACCTCCCTGTCTCTTTGTAAGCCTCCAATTTGATTTCTCCAAAACTTGTTGCCAAAACTGTGAAGTCCTTGCATTTCCTGAGGCCAAGTTGAAGGATCAAATACTAAGAAATTATCACATGACTTGAAGTCATATCTGATTTCAGAGGTGGGAAGTAACAAAGTACACTTATTCAAGTACTGTACTTAGGTACAATTTAAGATACTTGTAGTTTACTTGAGTATTTCTATTTTATGCTACTTTGTACTTCTACTCCACTACAGTTCAGAGGTAAATCATGTACTTTTCTTCCACTACATTTATTTAATACCTTTAGTTACTTTACAGATGTGGATGAATGATGTGAAAATATAATCAAGTGTTAAATCAGACTTTAGTTCCACCTGGAGTAAATCCACAAGCTACCTTGCAGTATACAAAGTCATTCAAACTAATTTTTAAACACTTTAATGATCAATAATTATAAAACATATCATATACATTATTATGAAATGGACCAATCTGCAAAATGACTACTTTTACTGTCGCTACTTTAACTAGATTTTGATGATAATACTTTTCTAATTTTACTTGAGTAACACTTCTTCCACCTCTGTCTGATTTCAAACTCTTCCATTAACAGCCTGAGTAAGTTTGCAGCTGTGTGTTTTACTCCACTTTGTTGTAAATAAAACTGCAGCAGCTTGACCACAGAGCGTGAACGTTGTGATCAGCTGATTTTGCGCAGTTCTCCAGTGTGTGCGCGGGGCACAGAATGTGCACAGGGGAGTCTCCCACCGCAGCCAGTTGACGTAGTTTTGGTACAATTCTGTTGTACACACCGACGTTAACAGCAGCTCCGTCTGTGCACACGGCGACCAACTCTGTCGTCCAGTGATCTAAGCCTCTGCCTCCTGTGAAGCTTCACAGGTCCGTCGGTTATGTCCTGCGCGGCACAGCCAGCACCCAGTTCAATCAGTCATAGAAAGTCCGAAGATTTTAGCAGGGAGCGAAACGGCAAAGTGGCTGCTTAATGTCTTTGTTTTTTTTGGACATGTCTAATAATTTACTCCACTGAGTATTGACAAGAAACATGTGTAGGCGAAATATGTGTTTTGTTTTGATGACCTATCAGGTACGCAAAGGCGCGTTGTGACACAAGTGACGTTACGCATTTCAGATTGTTGCCGCGCATGCGTACCTGCGTACCAGTTATGTGCACCCCTGACTATAGAGAGGATCCTGACTGTCTGCATCACAGCCTGGTACGGCAGTTGCAACGCCCTCAATCGTAAGACTCTAGAGAGGGTGGTGTAAACTGCACAGCACATCACCAGGACGGAGCTGCCATCCGTGGAGGACCTCTACTCCCAGCGGCTCAGAAAGAAAGCCCTCAGGATTATCAAAGGCCCCCATCACCCCAGCCACAAACTGTTCTGTCTGCTGCTGTAGCAGGCGGTACCGCAGCATCAGGACTAAAACCACCAGACTCAGGGACAGTTTTATTCCACAGGCCATAAGACTGTTAACCTGTTGGTGGGGGCCTCACAAAACTGTGTCTCAGGGCGTCTTAACATTTAAAAACCTATTAATGTGTCATACCCACTTAACGGGAAGAAACTCAGCTAACTGACGATACAAACCATTTTTTGGGTGTTTTAGATTTGGTTAATCAAAGTCTTAGGTTCACAAAAGTCGTGGAATATATGAATTACACTGTATATAAATGTGTAATTCATGTCTAAAATGAAAAAAAGTAGAAAACTCTACTTTCACCACAGCAGGGACTGAGATACATTAGGACTGAATAATGACTTAATATTACATACCAAGGTTCATGTGATGTGTACAAATACAAATTGAGCATTAGAACTTTTTTTTTCAACCAATAATTTATTAGAAATATGTTTTTTTCAACCAACTATTTATTTAAATATAATAAACTGGGAAATCTCACTATTTACAATATTGAACATCAGAACTTTCAACCAACTATTCATTATAAATGTAAAGACTAGTGTCAAGGTCTTCCAAGACGGTGGGTGTGGCTGCTGTGTAGGTGGGAGGTACGTGTGCTCTATGAGACCTCCTTGCTGGCCGGGTTGATGCTGATGGCTGTGGTGGAGCCTTTGTGCCGAGGTGTATCTTGACCTGGTGGCAGGCACAGATGGAGGTGGAGGCAGCTGTAGTGATGCTGGCCTCTGGTCCTTGGTGGTGATGGCTATGGTGAAGGCCCTTGAGCCATGGTAGATCTTGACCTGGGGTCAGGCACAGATAGAGGTTCTGGCTCCTGGATAAACGCCGCCTGTGAGCCGCTAGGCCCAGGCAGCTGTGAAACCTTTCTGCAAAACAAATTAAAATGTAGGACAATAATTACTTCTAATTTCATTGAAATAAAGTTCAAGTAAAATATTGCTCAAGCACAAATAACAATGCACACATAAAAAGAAAGTTTGGGAGGTGGGACAGGAGTCTCTCTCTCTCTCTCTCTCTCTCTCTCTACTCTCCTCTCTCTCTCGTCTCATCCTCTCTCTCTCTCTCTCTCTCTCTCTCTCTCTCTCTCTCTCTCTCCCTCGCTTCTCTCTCTCGTCTCTCTCTGCTCTTCTCCCTCTCGCTCTCTCTCTCTCTCTCACCAGTATGTTCCAGTTACTTGCAATTCAGTATACAATCACAGACACACATATACATACATCAGATAACAAAGTCAGGACAGTATGATAAAATAATCTATGGCAAAAACATGTCTACAGCCACTGTAAATGTCTCTGTTGTGGGACGAATAAAGGATTATTTGAATCATCTACATCTACAATCATGTAATCTCACTTTTACACACCAAAATAACGTTTACACATAAAACACGTTAACACAGAGTAAACGTTTGCTAATGGAGAGTCTATTTTGTCCCAAGAAAAAGTTCATGACTATCGATAAA